AATGCTGTGCACCACATTTGACACACAGCTCAACATTCCATCAGGAAAGTGCGTATACCAATTGCCCGAACAGGCCCCAACGCTACCCGATGCTACCGAGTTATACGAAATACAGATAACTCGCGCTGTTGTTCTCGACAAGCTATAAAAGTTAAGCGCAGGAAAGTCCCCAGGGTGCGACGACTTTCGCCCATCTGTGTTGAAAGAATGTGCGAGTACCCTAAGTGGCCCACTCTGCAACCTCTCCCAACACTACTTGGGTGAGCGAAAGCTCCCACGAGAGTGGAAACGGGCTATCCTTTCTCCCATCTTCAAAGGAGTAGACAGACGGAATCCCAACCGTTATAGACCCATAGCACTTCTACCAGTAATATCAAAAGTAACGGAAAGTGTGATGGATGACCGTATCAGAGAATACCTGGATACCAAGCGGGCACTCAGTGACGCTCAATATGGCTTCCGGAAGGGTAGGTCCTGTGCCTCCAACCTCCTGACGGCCCATGATCACTGGAAAACATGCTGGGATCTCAAGGTCCCGGTCCACGTAATCTTTCTGGACTACGCCAAAGCCTTTGACACCGTCTCACACACTATCCTAACACGTAAGATAGCTGGGTTAGGTATTCGCAGCCAGGTGCCATCGTGGCTGCAGAACTACTTAGACAACAGGGAGTTCTGCACGAAAGTCAACAGGGTCTACTCAACTTGGAGAACATCCTCCTCCGGTGTCTCACAAGGAGCAATCTTAGGCCCACTGTTGTTCCTACTGTTCGTATATGACTTGCCGCAACATATCAGCTCCCCGATTCTCCTATACGCTGATGATGTCGAGTTATGGAGGGCAGTAACTTGCGAGGCGGAATCTGTGGCATTACCGAAGGACCTCAGAACACTAGAGGAATGAGGAACTAATGACGAACTGGCATTTAATCTGGATAAGTGCCGGTCCATGTTTTTCCGCACTCCTGACCCCCAGAAAATATCCTATTATCTCTGTGGTTCGCGTCCATCCCATACCACGGTAGGAAAAGACCTGGGTCTAACGGTGACAGGGAAACTGGACACCAGTTTCAATTACCCAGGTGATGTCTCGAAAGCATATGGAGTACTACAATTTGTGCGTAGACGACTGGGTGCCCTCACCCCAGAACTCTTTCTGCAGCTCTACAAGACTTACATACGGCCCCACTTAGAGGTCCATAACGTCTTCGCTCCACCACAGCTGAAAAGAGGCGCGAACTTACTGGCGAAAGTCCAGAGGCGAACCACAAAAAGGTTTGTCAGAACGCAACGAAAACCATATGAAGGCAGACTCAGAGACCTAGGTCTATACTCCCTTAGCTATCGAAGGATACGTGGCGGCTTAAAATGGCTTACAAAATGATAACTCGAGGCACCCAAACAGAGGAGTCCTACCGAGTGGCCACTAAGGAGATCCTCTAGGAAACCCCAATAGAATAGCACAACAGAGGTCAAAAACGCATGTGCGTTCGCAGTTCTTCTACCTCCGAGTCTGTGGGTACTGGGACGCACTACCAGCAGAGGTGGTCTCCGCCCCAACCGTCAAAGGCATCAAAAAGAGGCTAGACAGTCATGCGGAGACTCATGGTCTACCCACGCGTAGCTGGAACACGAAGTGACGTCAAGCCACCCCAACCAGTTTTCTTTCTATTGTAACCATTTAAGCTGTTTTCACCCCTTCCACTTGCCATAAGTTAGCCTCACTTGCCTAAGTTCTTCATGCCGTTGCACCCCTACTCACCTTACTTGGGTGTAGGTAGATTACTCCATTAGTTTACTTTTCCTCTTTTCCTTTACTCACACAAACACTTTCTAGGTTTTCTCTTCACTATCCCTAACCCTCTCTAGTGACCAGTCCTAACTGTCTGGCAACTCGACATCTGAAGAAGCCAACTGCACCACAGTCCGAGGCGAACATACCAACACTTAACTTCCCGTTCTGTAAATCAGAGCCATAGCAGACGAGTGGCTGGCCCCGCTGCATCGGAATCCGCAGAAGATCTTGAGCCGTTCAGCAAGACCAAGAAGCCAGCAAGAAGAAATCAACTGGTTTACACAAGCTCGTTAAAAAGATATTGGATATTGGACCCCGAAAAGGCGAAGGAGAAGAATGATAAGTAGTTTTCATTTAAAATTTTGTTCTAAAAATGTATTTATGCTGGAAAACTTCCGCTGTTTATTACAGCCGTCTCTTGTTGCACCCCGCCATTTTTCTGTAACTAAAAAATTATTTATTAATTCGTTGTCTTTAAATGCACATTAAAATTTAGGCAGAGTGAATAACGTGCGAATGTCTACCTTTAATTGATTCTGGCTGCCAAGCTCGGAAACCCTTTAGGAATTGTCCTGGTGCGAACTCGACAGACGCAGAGGCCAATAACCAATTTTATATTATATATACCCAAGAATGCGCGACCAAGAACGAACACAATAGCGTAGTCGGATGGAATAGTATATTTGCGAGGTCGTGTCAAGGTACCGATGCGTTCCAGCTAACTGGCTAGAGAGTCGAATACGAGCAGTGCAACGTAACACGACAGCGTGCCAAATGGCAAGGACTCTTGAACGGGTGCCCTCAGCCTAGCGAGTCCAGTTAAACTATCAAGGTCAGCATCAACGTCGAATCTTGTCGAATCCTGGGCTATTGATTCTGCAGAAGTGTGTGACGCCACGAACCGATCTCGGTCATGAAAGCATGCATCATCCATTTCCCTCATAAGTTCACGCCCCCTGCGCCGGGGTAACCGAATTCTGCAAGAAGTATAGCTAAAACGAAATTCGTAAGTTGTGACCAGATGAAGTACTTACATAGAACAACTTTGCGGAAAAAGCACTTGCACAATACCGGCTTGTTAGGTGTTCCCATGAGTGTGTAACGACTAGCTAATGCCGGCGATAGTAAGCCAGTTAGCATATGTCTCATGGACCACTCGACATTCCAGATTGGTGCCCTGGACATTTTTGCAGCCTAAAAATACATATATGAAGCGTGTTTGTCCATACAATACCACCTCAAAAACCTAGATCTTTTAATGAGATCTCCAGCATATCCAGTTGCTCCTCGGTTTCCAAGGAATACAGCGGTTTCAAAACGTTAGGAGTAAGAAAATGGTATTGACAAATGCCGTTATTACTCATTCCGGCAGCGGAAATTTGGTTGCAATCAACTGCATCTGTCAGACTTAGACGTTCTGCAGTTACACCTGGTCACTTGTCATTATTAAATAGAATGAAATGAATAGTTCTGGGAATCATTGCCCCGTCCCCAAAAGACTCCTTCGTCTTTCTCTTGGACTCCCCAGAAATGGCTGTATAAATTCGTTTACATCGTCTGTAAAAAGTTGACCGGTGACGATGAACACTTCTGTAACAATACAAACACCAATCTCTCAATGAAAGATGGACCCTCAAATTCAGAATACTAATAAGTGAGAACAGACAACATTCTATTCGACAAACGCACGCCACTCACCTCCATGATACATGCTGAAACGACGGTTGGCGCGGAAGTACCTATTTTTCCCTTTCCCCCTCTTTTTTACGCCTTTCCAAAACGGCATCCCCATCAGTGTCTGCGTTTCTCCACTATTTCCCAATTTCCCCTTTTTTGGCATATAGGGCAAGACCTAGGAGTGATCGCTTCTAAACTCAAGGGTGATAACTGTCGACAATTTCTGGCTGTGACAGCTTATTGAAAAGGAGACAGGCCCTAAATTCGTGTTATTAATGCCATTAGAAGTACCTGTTAATGAAGCAGTATACCGTATTCTGCGGTGAAAGTTGACTTGTGGTGAGGTAGCTGAATCCGCAACTTCACTGTGGAGTAATAAGCTAAGAAGCTGCCATTCTTACGCCTTCGATGCACTTGTTTCCTTCGTCTCCAGTCATCAGTACTTGCTGCCATGTTAATGTGGCACGCAGCAACATTGCAGTTATTCCCAGATTGAGCATCGCAGTCATAACTTATTTGCTGCCCATTTATTTTATCCGGGTTTAAAGAAAGGGTTATACAAACATGACACGCATGCCTACAAGGTCGTCATGTGACAGCATTTAAAGTTTATGACATCTACGCGAACAGCAAGCAAAAACGTGCAGCTAAAGACAGCACATCACATACCTTCACCTTTCATGCTACTGTAAACCGGATGGATGGCCACTGCACGCCATTAAGCTTGTGTAGTAAAAGCATACCGAACCGTTGAATTCATTCATCCTTTTGAACAGTATTCACAAGTCAATCACTTCGAAGGAAGTGAGACAGTTTCAGTTTACAATATTATGATATCAGTGAATTAACGGTGAAGTTCAACCTCTGACATGCTCTGTCTAAGAGCATTCAGGACTAGACAACAAGAAGTTGGTTCCACTCCCGTGTCCAATCAATACATGCAAGCCAGTCCTACAGAAGGTCAGTCGCGACGCGAAAAGCTCAGTGGTAAAGTCTTTAGGATTTGTCCTGGTGCGAACTTGACAGACGCGAAGACCAGTCACTAATCATTCGGACTTGTTATATACCCACGAATACGAGACCAAGGAACAACATGATAGCGTAGTCGGATGGAACAGTATATTTGGATGGTTGTGCCAAAATACCGATGCGTTCCAACTAACTGGCTACAGAGTCGAATGCGAGCAGTGCAACGTAACATGACAGCGTGCCAAATGGCGAGGATGCTTGACCGGGTGCCTTTAGCCTAGAGAGTCCAGTTAAACTATCAAGGTCAGCATCAATGTTGAATGTCGTCAGACCCTAGGCTATTGATTTTGGGGAGGTGTGTGGCGCTACAAGACGTTGTCTACAACACTGGTTGACGCGGGTTTAAATCTCAGGCGGGACATCAGTTCCGTTGAGGTTGCAGATACTTCAAAAAGCATGGAACCTAGGTCTAGTGCGTCCTGCCGATTGCCTCCAACTAGCTAACTGTCCAAGAGCGTTACCAGCTTAAGGCCATTGACTAAGTTCGGGTTTTGCCCAAATGTTCTATAATTTACCTAAATTACCCAAATGCGCGTAATTCCACCAGGATTACGCAGATTGTCTGCAATGCATTCGAAGTTTTAAAAATGAGGCAATTTAAGGGGGTAACAACTAGTTTATGGGGTACACTTGGTCTATGTGTGTTCTTTGGAGCAGTATATGCTATGTGTAACTGTTTATTTGACTGTAGAGTAATGTAATCTTCAGAAAATATGAATTTTTGGGATGTGGCAAAAATTTCCAAGCTGCGTCTAAAGTTGAGTTCAGGATTTACCCAAAAATGTCAAAGTGCACACAAAGTCTTTGCCGTCTATGGTGAGCTCAAAAACTACAAGTTTCTTGTACTGGCACTATTGATGTTGGATGTGACCAATTCATATCTCAGCTTGGGTTTATTTTAATTTCTATGACTAACTGCAGCGACATAAAGTGAGCATGCCTCCTAAAGTCACCTAAGGATATGTTGTTTGTGGTTTATGGATTACTACAGTGCTTATTAGCTACGTTATTCAGCGTTTCCAGCATTCAAATTCCTCAGACGCCATAAGATGCATGGGAGCTTTAGTCTTACAGTATCTCAATTCTAGCAGAATAAAATAAAAATGAATTTATGCTATTATCGCTTTTTTCGAAACGACTCTAAAAAGGAACGCAAATGTTTCTCAGCCAATAGCGTACTAGCAAAGTGACCTAGAAGTGCGTCAGTACTTTGGCGTACGTTATATGACCTCTATTCATTGCCTCACTTACCAGTTGTAACTTGTTTATTGCCTTCGCTTCTCATCGTAAATTATCAACTTTCGACGATACATTTCATAAAGTATGTATATTCTTTTGTTTGCTGATCCATCGGCCCACACTTTTTCTCTTCCAGCCTATCCGTGTGCCTCGTGCAATAACTCACCTGCACATTAGGCGATAACATACACACAGCTGGTCATCGCATCTGCTCTGTAAGTTATTCTACTTAATCAGTGTCTGTTTAATCCTAGAACTTCACATCTCAGTTAGTTTCCCATTCATTTTCCATATACGCTTGTAGTTTTATTTCTTGTGAATTTGGCTGAAATTCTGGCTTAAGTTCATTACTTAAGTTTTCAAGATTCACTTAATCATCACATGGCAAAATTTTCTATCTCTGAACTTGACTTCTTAGAACACATTGAAGAAAGAGCTGAACCCTTAGTAAGATGATTACTGCAAGGGCTCATACAGGTTAATGACCTACCATTGTTTTTACTGATGACTGAAGATGTTTTGTATCGTGAGTTAAGGGTTTCCAATCGGTGAGACCTTGGACACTCAAGTATTCTAGACGTACGTTTGTCGTGTTTGGAAATATGACCCATATGGTTCAATTTGGAAACCCTTGCCAATTGATTCATTTCAGGGAACGGAGGTGATATTTAGGTTCCACTATCATTTGTATATGCTACTTGATGCTCTTGTAGTTCAAAAGATTTTTATTAACTGTAAGAGTAGCCATGTTTCATACATAGTGAGCAGACGGTGAAAAGCCAGGTATCAAGACGGTTGTGGTAGTCTGGAGATCGTATTTCGAGACTAATATTTTAGTAGATGCAAATAGTGCCCCCGTTGAACAGTTCGCGTGGTCTACTCTGTGCAAGTGATGAATTTTAGAGCGGGTGATTTGACACTGGTTCACACATTTTCGTTGTTCTCCGACATGTGTCTAGGTGTCCGTAAATCGTTTCGAGGCTGGGGTTATGCACTAGTATTATTATGAACCCAGTGGGCAACGAAGCCATTCATGGTGTCACTAATGAAAACAAATTCTGGGCACTGAATTCACTCTTTAGAGAGCACTTGACTTAGGTTTTGTGATAAGACCTCAGCCATAGTCGCGTTATTATTAGCAACTCATTGTAGCATCATGGCTGAGATGATGTGGTTCCTCTTCATTCTTCTCTAAATGTATGAACATAACGTATTTAGGATGGTACTGAAAATCTCGGAGAAGATGCTCATGTATCAACCTAAATTTCGTGATCATGTTTTAGCGAGAATTGCTGATCTCACTATACCTATGTCAGGATTGGTCAAGGTTTGATAGTGAAAAGATTTCAGTCTCTTTCTACTACTATCTACGCCGAATTAAACAAAGTATACGAGTAGTGTTATGGCTTTTAGGTGTCAAATCCACTGGCTTAATAAAAAAAAGACCTATATTTGAAGGCTGACTGTCAGAACTAACAAGTTCCGTACTATTTCACGGCCTTACGAGACTAATCCCTATGATTTTTAGTTCTTACTGCAAAAAGGCATGGTTTTGGTTGCCACTGACAAAGTAACTAGGCCGGTTGACATGCGGTAATATGCATAATAGGTATGCCTGTGAAGATTCGGTTTCTGTTCGAATGTATTTACTGAAGTAGCTGACATCCCTTGGTGAGGTAAAAAATAATTGTTGTTAGTCGCTTTATGATAGGGATGGGGTTTAAAATAGTGTTTTCACGGTGGATCTTGGACCTTTTTGTGGTGATCTTTCAAAGGGTTAGTCCTAAGAAATTGAGAAATACCGACGTCAGTCATTATTGAGGATACAAAATATTACCCTTTCTCCTGCTTTAGGACGGGGAACAGATTAAATCCGCCTAAATGCCCATCATATTCTCACTTGAATGGACTGGTCAGGAGCCTAGTAGCTACTCTTCATACACACATGTACATTGGCTTAATACATGGACTGGCTGTTTAGGCGCTATACTCTAAATAAAATCCTATATGTGTAGGATAGAGTCTTTGACATAATTCACCAAAGCTTTAAAAACTTCTGTGTAATAACTACAACATACAGAAACATTTTACTACAACAAAATTTCAGCACACAGATTTTTTCAGATTGCGGCTTACAGCGACCTGTAAGTCTTTAATCTCCAAGACTAGCGAGCTATGTACCATCATTTGAATACTATTGATTTACTGTGATTAGTGTTTGTCACAGATTTTTCTAGAGCGAATTTTTGGACACAGTCACCAACTGACCACGTCATCTGAATTTGTATATAGTGGGGGCTTACCGGCATAGCTCCGAGTAGTGTTGCAGAGTTTTCCTTCATCAGTGAATAAATGTTCTGAAGATTTAAGCATTTGGGGTTGCTCATTTGCGTAGACTTGGCACAAAAAAGAAACGCAAACTCCTTCTTAGGGGTCCTATTTCTTGGTGGTTTACACTCAAACAGTGTTACATGTACCTCTCTCTAACTTCAGTTGTCCAGAGAACACCAATACAAAGTTCGCAAGCTACCCCAATAGTTTTGAATGACACAGATTATCCTTAGTCCTAGTAAAATCTATGAACACTACGTGTACATGCAATTTCCAGTCATAGACTGTTATAAAGACTAACTGACTAACAGAATCAACATAGAACCTCGCTCACAAGTGCATCGATTCAAGTTGCCACATTTCACAGTTGTAGAAAAAGAGCAAGTGGATAGCAAAGGAGTGATATCAAAGTAGACAAAGATGTGTGAGAGAATAAGCAATTCGAAGATAAAGATTAATGCGAATATTCAAGCTTTAGAAGGTATCAAATGAGTGAATATATCGACCCTATCGTGACCGATTTTCAGCCATGTCACCAAGAGTTCTCAACAACTGATTTCTATTGTCTCGGTAACCACAATCAGGTAGTCGATATCTCTACACACGGTCCAGATCAACATTCAACTTCATCGATTGGTGCTATGTCTTGGTCTTCCTACCCTGAACCCTCTTCCAGCCTAGTCCAACTTCCCCTAGCATTGGACTTCGTAGTAGACGGTGACTCGGCATGTGCAACACATGTCCAGGTCATTTCAGTCGAGCAACCAGCTCGTTTGGGCTGCTGCAACTTCCCTAAGTGTAGTGATTAACGCATTCTATCATTGCATTGACTATCCTTAAACTGGGAGTAATTTCAGACCAATCCTGGACCATCATTTTACATTTTACAGGTGCGAAATGCATGCTAAATATATTCAGACTTCCACTGAAGATGTTCAGAAGATGCTGCATTTTTAAGCGTCTTTGCCTAGCAAGACAATATCATCCTTGAAATGCAAGTCAAGTAGATGCTCTCTAGGTAGCAGATCTGTATGTAAAGTCAGAGGCTACCTAAAGGTAGCTTAGGACCTATGCAACTCACTAGTCACTGAGTACTGATTATTATAGAATTCAAGTTGATGTCTCCTTGTTGATTGCACTCAACCATCGAAGACTAATCAGTCGACCGTAGTGTTGAGGTTTCTAACTTCACATCAAATTCTCTCATTGATAAACTTGAATAAACACTGAGATTCGAGGTCTGGCTCTAATTTTCATGTCTCCAGCAATTCGTTTATGCAAATATTACTGTTGCTCTTCATTTCAATGTTGTTGTTTCTTCATGTCTAACATCACCATTGCATATAAAAAGATTTTAATCATGAGAATATTTGTTATTATTCTAGTGGGAAAATGTCCGGCGGTCTTGATTTAGGTAAGTGAATTGATGACTTATTCTTTTATAGCTATTTGAACATATCAAATAATTCAGACTTTATTATTTACATATATTTCATTTTACTGTCACTAAATTTATTGAAGTAAAGATGTTGTGTGCCTGTGGCTTCCTGATATAGACTTAGGAGTTTCAACCGGTAGGTCACTAGTCCGAATCCCACTCCACACTTTGACGTTTGGCAAACTAGGCAGTGTCACTAGTCTGCACTCAGTGGGCGTACTTCACGGTTTAGTGCACAGATTGAAGTGAGACTGGTGAGGTGCATAGCGCATTTAGAAACCTGATATCGAATCCAGTCAACTGTAAGAACACTGGTAACGACTATAAGTGATCCTGATAGAAAAGTTAACAGTAGCTTGTAGGTGTCTACACTCTCGTGTGTATTACTTGATGGATAGGAACTCGTATCAAATGGGTCTGAACACAGCGAAGAGGAAAAGCAACTTAAATGTGAATGGATAAGAATTGACATAATGTTTAAGTAGTAGAAAGTGAGGAAATTGCGAGAAGTCTGTAGTGATAGGTAATTCTAGGCAATCGTTTGAGAAAGCTGTTAATAGTCAAGATTACTTTCGGGAAAAGGGGTGTGAAAATCAACTCACACAAGATAGTCACTAAAAAGATAAGTCAAATGTTATGTAAAACGTTGTAACTAGTTGTTAACTGCATGTCAGCCGCTCTCTGCCTCTCATATTCCAACACTTCACTCCCTGTAATTGAACTGAAAGTGATAGTAGTAGTAGTTACGATAGAGTTGAAGAAATCCAATGACGTTTGCTAACCTTCATGTGTAGGTTACCAATTGTCTTTACCGCTGTTTCTACAGCGGATTTAATATTACGCCAGATTTCCTCAGGATCAGCATTACTGCCATGTTCAGATAAAGGCCTCTCTATCTCTTCTCTAAATTCGGACTTGATGTTATCATCTTCTAGGCGAGAACAGGCGGGCGTTACGGTCGCCTGTTTTCTGCAACCCGTAAAGCTCAGACATGTGCAAGCCCTTACTAGGGTGTGGTCGGAGTCCAAACTGGTACTGCAGAAAGAGTGGCAATCCTCTGCCGATCCTCTCCAAAGATGGCTTATAGCAATGTGATCTATCTATGTCTGTCGGTTTGAAATAGACATGCACCATGTGAGTGTCTCTCCTTATGTCTACGGTTAGTGGTGGTCAGAGATAAGTGGTTATCAGAGCCAAAATTGCAGTAGGCGATCATTGTCGGTTCGATGGCATGGAATTCCTTAGATACCTTTCAGATGCCTCTCCGATTGGCTTAGCTTCCCTACTTGAACGTCAAAGTCACCTGGGATTATGACTACGGCTGAACGTTTTTCTTTCTGTAGCAAGGTTGACAATCAATCAGTCAATAACAACATAGGACCTGGCATTACTGCGTGACGGTCCGAGTTGCCACACCTCATATCAGTACATCAAGTAGAAAGAAAGTGAAGTGAAGGATGAAGATAAGAGAATGCAGTCTAAAGAAATATAAAGTACGAGAAGAAAGGAAAGAGGAGTGACAAAATGGTGAGATTCGGTATAGTGTAGTTAAGATGAGGATAATGTATGTATACATCTGCGCCACTGACATCGGTTCTGAGACATATCACCTAGGGTCTCCAACCACTGGTTCTTTTTGTCCCGCGGATCCCAACCACCTAGTCTGCATCGTCCTACATGGCTCAAATCAACAGTCAGAGACTTCATACATTGGTGCCATGTTTTAGTCTGGCCACCTCGGGCCCTTTTCCAGCCTGGACCTACTTCGGCCAACATTATGTGACGAGGCAATCGGTGACTAGGCACATGTAACATGTGTCCCAGCCATCTCAATCGATGAAGGTTCATAACCTCGTCAGCTGACTCAACTGACCTCTTCTCCCTAAAACTCTACTCCTGACTTCTGCACCACTCACGTGGCGGCACCATGGAATACGGCTTATACTACGAAGGCAACGGTAGTCAAGTACCTGAAGCCTTCCCATGTCTTCCACCTTCAATGACCATGTTTCAAAGTCATACAGTAGAACAGAGCGGACTGCTGTGCAGTACATGCGACCCTTAATAGACAAACGGATATCACGGCGGCGCCATAGGTGGCGTAAATTGGCAAAAGCCAATCGAGCCTTTTGTATCCGTGCAGAGATTTCATCGGCCACTGACCAACCCATCAGGGCTGATCCCACTTCGCTTCCCAGGTAAGTGAAGTGGTCGACACACTCAACGACTACATTCACTCTCTATTGTTAGCCGTGGTGGGGCACCGTTAAAGACGAATCCTGGAGCAAAAATTTGCATTTGGGTGGTGCAAGGTTGACAGCTTTTCATAAAATGCGTCCTTTGCATTATTCAAACTGCAGTTATTGTGTTTGTAGGCGAAGATTACGAATAGACATCCCGTAGTCTCATGATCCTTCTTATTCCTTACAAATCCATTCAGTCAAACCACGTAGACAGCTGTTTACTGGTCTCCAGTCGAGAAGCGCACTTTCTGCCCTACAGCTCTATGGTACTCCTACACTAGCGAGTTCATGAGAACTAGCCACTGCATCTACGAATACTCATAAGATGAATTTTGAAGACTCACTACTATGGCCAGGTGAGGTCATTCGGATAACCACATGGGTCCTATCTACTTACGTGTCTCAGAGACAGCGTACATCCATGGTTAGATTCCAGAGTTCTGGCGAGCGATGCTTGTTGTCCGATTTGGTATAGAGTTTGTGCGTTGAAGAGCCCTACATAAAATCGATAGCGAGGTCTTAGGAGACTAGGGATGAAGTTTCGATGGCTTTGGTCGTTGGTAATGGTTGTAGAATGCAAAGTTGAAGAAGGTGTGTGAGATGGAAGGAAAAGGTGGAGTCCGAGTTGAGGAGGATAAGTTATGTTTGATTGCTTTTTGTATACTGCTGGGCGCGTGTAGGCGGTTGACACTTCCCGGCTGCCCACACCACTAAAAGCTACTTCTTATTGAGATACTCGAAAAAGAAGAGAGTGCGTGACCTCAGAGCCTAAGGGATATCTGTTTGAAGCCGGTCAATAACTGCCTTTTGGAAAGTTTGAAACTGTAATCTGTTTTTGAATCTAACTATGAATTCCTGTTACAGGCATCGGTATACCGCGAGGGGTGGGATTGTGCTAACCCGTTTGGAAGGCAACATAAGCGTAGCAGGGCCGATCATCCAAGGGAAACACCTAACTGCTGTCACCTTTTCTAGCCAGCAGCAGTACGACTCCGCCCCAGACACCCAATATAGGGTAGTAATTCACACTATGGTGGTAACTACTTTTTGTCTAACCACCGTGCAGCAGATTTTTCTGGCATGGTAAGACCTCGAGGAAACAAGCGTCCCACTAGCATAACTCGTTGGTTTGTTGTATTATGCAAACCCGACCGCTACGTCTAGATAACTGCTATCGATTGGCTAGGTAAACTGGCGGACTGAAATCACTGATATTTCTCCTTTCTTGTTCGTAATGTGTAGATTTCATATCGACTCATATTTCATTGTAGCTAGTTTGTGTAAAACTGTTTTCTTTCTTATGCATTTTACAGATATAGTAAACTATATAAAAACTATAAAAATTGAAGTCAAGTCTCTATCAACACGTTTCAAATATCTCACACGTCATGTGATACAACAGAAACGTCAGTTGGACTCTGCGGTAAGCGTGAAGAAACTCTACTATTCCCCCCTCTTTATGATTTCCTTTTATTGGGTTTTTTGTGTATATAACCTACTGCATTTTGATACTCAATATTCAACAACTGGGTCTTTAGGCTTGCAATCTGATTCACTTACCGAGATTTGAGCAATTCCGTAGTATTATTAGTCTGTATATAAAAGTTGGGGTCCAGCGCCCTCACCGTAAGTACACTAATATGTATTAATCAGTTACGTTGATTGTGTCTATAAGATTGATATTTTTTCCATGTTTTTTGTACACGTTCGTGTTGATTTTATATATCACTGCTTAAAGAATATTTTCAGTTTCATTGTGCAACTCACTAACTATACACAGCTGTGATTCCTTTGGTGTGGGGTGATAATTCTCAACTAATGGGTCACGGGCTCGAATATCGCTCCACCTCCCGAGGTATGGGAAGCCAAGCGTTAATATCATTACCCCTCACACAGTAGGTGTTCACAAAGTTGTCGAATGGATTTTGATTTTTCTACACGGCTTGGTTTGCTGAAACCTTATTGTATGAAAACTAACAATACTTATCAGCTAATCAGATAAAAATTATTCCTAGGAGATTTCAATCTAAGTTAGAGTAATAGAAGAGGGTTAGATTGAATATCTCGATCATCTAATTCAATGAATTTACTTTCAGATTGTGTCAAATTGATACCATTTTTAATTTACAGCATTTGCTAAGGTATGATTGTGACTCAATAGATGTCAAGTGTAATAATCATAAAAGGTATTTCACTTTTATGGTAAAGAGTAATTATTTAGACACTAACATATTCTATCATGTAGGACGTCCAATTCAGTTTTCCTAACAAAAGATTTGTAAGAACTCACTTCACAAAGAACGAGAAAGTCAACAACGAGACTTCGTCCCTAGATATCCTCATCAACAGAACACATGGGACTTTGCATGCTCAGATGTACGGGAAAATCACACATTCACACTGATCAAATTTCGAACTACAATAGCAGTCATCCTACAATCCATAAGAGATATTTTGTAAGAATACTGTTCTCAAGAGCTAAGATATTTTGCATCACTTAAGCAATATGGAAAGACAAAGAAAAATTCCTGTACAAAGTGTCCAAAGCTAGGGAGTATTCACATAAATTTATCAAAAAATGTATATCAACAGAACAGAGAACAGCGCAATTATCTAAAAGCAATACATGCGTTTCTCTACCCTAGACCAAAAAAGTCTCAGAAACCGTCAACCGATTGGTTCATCCGTTCAAGATTGGAATGGGACATAAGCCAGAGAAATCACTAGAAAGCATGTTATACAAGCTAAGGAAAGATAACATAAATATAATATATAAAATCAACCGCAAAGGTTGTTCACAACACTATGTTGACCAGTCTAGCCATCGGATTCCTCAAAGAATTCATAAACAGCGACTGGCAGCAGAGTGACTTCAGCAGAGCAACTTCATTGGTTTCTATGTACTCAGGCAATCATGAACATAAATCCGACTGGGAGAGTGTGGAAATCTTCGAAGGAGCGGGTTCAAAAACTTCAAGAGAATTTCTAGAAGTGTGATATCCTAACGAAAAGTCAATCAATACACACATGGGTCTAGGCGAAGTCTACAATCTACTTAGGAAGAAATCAGCTACCCATCAGCTGAGCGTAAATTCACCAGACAGATCAATAATAAATCACAGCGTAACGGTAGCACATAGCACAATCACACTCTAAAAAAGATTCTGTACCAGCATAATTGAGTTAGATTTAAGTTTAAAGAGGTCAAGGCATGGTAAAAATCTCTTTAACTCACAATCGGATAACACTCGTTGTCACCAAAGCCATCGTCTAAACATTCGTGTAACACTCGAATATGTCCAACTTCTTTATGAAGTTAGTGCTGAGAATGTTACCAAGCCTGTTGACAATACGTCCATAGCAAAATATCTTAGCCAAGAGGAACTCTGAGCCACTGTCACTAATAGCCCATCTTTTATAATGAATTCTGATCCAACCTTTCAATAGTATTCATTCATACACTGCTAATAAAGTCAGTTGAATCTAAAATTTCTCAATCAGTAACACATTTCACTAGTCCAGCTCAAAACGATCTAGGCATTCACTTTTTAGGGATAAGGTCATTAGCAGTATACGTAGACAAATTTCGTCTCTTCTTTTTCTTCTCTTCTCATGGTTTCCTATCACTTTTGATTGCGTTCTCCCTTCCTTTATCTTTCATCTTGCTGCTTCTTATCTACATGTGCTGGTGTGTGGCAGCTTGCAACTTCAATCGTTAATCTGTAATACTCAGGTCCTATGGTGATATTGACTTACTGCATACTGTAAACTTTTAGATAGATCAGCGTGTTGAGATAATGGAGAAAATTTGTAGCTCAGGAGGATGATTTTAATGGTGTTGTGTTCTCTGAATAGGTCTCAATGTCAAGCTTCTAAAAATTCTCTAACATTCTTTACGTTTCCTCTACCCAGAATTTCTACATTTTCCCAGTCAAATTGATGTCCACAGTTGTCCGTATGCATTGAGATGAGCAAAGATTTGTCATGACGCTTCACTGCTAGTTGATGTTCATGTAAACGGATATGAAGAGATAGTTTCCATCATCTAAAAATCTTATGAGCATCAAACGTTTTTTGTTGTTGGGAAATAGGAGAACCTCGCCAGAACGCAGGCCTCCACGCGAGAACAACCATATTTTCTCCTCAAATATCTACGTCAACATGTTCTGCCAACTACTTTCAAATACAGACTAACTATGGAATGTCCAACTGGCTGGAAAATTTTGGAAGACACGTATTAGAACTGCTGATCACCGATGATCATTATAGGATTCGGAAATATAAACAAACGATAGACAACCAGACGAAATAGAAATCTTCAGCAGATATTCACAACAGAACGAAGAAGAAACATTCTTCGAGAGAAGCTTGTCAAAGATAATCAAACTATCTAACCCATAGGATATAACACAGTCAAAATAGATCAGGATGTGTTTATCTTGTTTATTAATTCCCATTGTAACATTAAGAACAAGATATTCAGCGAAGAGACTCTTTTCAACGAATTTATTTTCAAGCTGTACAATCGTATATATATGGTATTTGGAAAAAATTATATCCTGTGAGGAAAACTAAACACTATATGGTGATGACAGTAATAATAGAGCGGGTGATGACATAGGCATTTATGAGCCTAGAGTTTAAAGGAGACCTAGCATCGGATGTACTGAAGAATCGTCTTACCAGATCAATCAATAGGACTTTCTTCGCAGCAAGACTCCAGTTGACTTTTACCAGCCACAACCTATTCTCCACCTGCGTCAAAGACAAGCTTCCTCGTTTGGCCGCCTTTATGTGCATCTACCAGTTCACCTGCTCCTGTGGAGCAAGGTACATCGGCCGTAGCCAGAGAATGCTTTCTACACGTATACGAGAACATGTTCCTGCTTGGTTTTATAAAGGTGAAAGAATGTCTGTTAGAAGTTCGATTCTAAAACATTTGATTGACTTCCATCACACAACAAATCCAGACGATGACTTTGAAATTATTTATCAAATTCGCCCAAATCTCCCACGTTCTCTTCGTTTTCATCTCCTTAAAACAGTGGAGGCTTTAGCTATTCATGAACTAAGACCTGATCTGTGTGTACAAAAGAAGTATGTGCAGTCACTGTCTTTATCATGGCCATAACATTTTCCCACCCTATTAGCTCCCCCTCCCACTTTGTTAATTTAACCTTTGTATCCTTCCTTTATCACTATTATTGTTATCATAATCGCCTTCACTTCAACTAGTTTCCGGTGTTGTTTCACTTAATTGTCTTAATCCTTTTAGAAAACATTGACTTCATCTTGTCCAATTTGTCTAATGTCATTACATAATACTTAATTGATTTACCATTTTCAACAATTTTTTCACCCCCTTCTGAGTTATATATTCTCTATATACCATTCCATATATTACACAATCTATTTGTTATCATTCGCACTTCAATTGTTATTATAATCATAAATGCCTGTCATCATCCGCTCTATGATTATTCTCATCATCAGCATATAGTGTTTAGTTTTCCTAACGGGATATAATTTTTTCCAAATACCATATATATACGATTGTACAGCTTGAAAATAAATTCGTTGAAAAGAGTCTCTTCGCTGAATATCTTGTTCTTAATATCTTGTTTATGTTTCAGTATCCATATTAATACTCTTTATATACATTATAATATCTATTTCAGGTAAGAAAGATTGCTTCTCTTGAAATGTCTTTCAATCAATCTAAAGATATATGCCATTCATCTAAATCTAAACATTCAGTTGGTTGTCAATTTTCACAGAAATCAAAACTATGTATCACAGCTTCACCAAATATTTCATCAGATAGTGAATCATTTGAAAGTTTCAACAAACATCTTGAAGTATCTAATACTCGAAATACACAGAAACGTCGTAAATCTGAAATACAATCAAGTTCAGTTACATATACATCACCTCAAAGGTACTGAAATTAGTTGTTTTATTCATTTTCTTTTGTTTTTTCATGGTGTTTGCCATATAATTCTGAGTAATATCGATTATTTATAAGATTTTGGAGTATTTTTAAGTCTTTTATAAATTGATAGGATAAATAAGCAGGTAGAGAAGAAGTCAGTCAGTGTAGAACTTGACACAGAAGTGCATCGCTTCAAAAGTTATCACATATTCATAGTAGGATGAGAATGTATGTTGAAACTTTTTAACATATTCAAGAATAAATAAATCTTTGTCATTGTAACTAATTTTCAGCCAACATTGCTTCCTATTGTCTCGAGGTCCGCAGTTAGACAGTCTATACAATACCTCGGTACACGATTATGATCAACAATCAGAGCGACCTCATGAACTTGGTACCAACTTCTTGGTGTGTATGTATGTGTGCGTGTATGTATGGACACTCTGAACTTTCTAACGCAATCGTACTTGGGTTAATAATTGTACATCCATATAAACGATGATTCAGCATGCGCAACACATATCCAAATCATCTCACTCAGTTACAGTTGACAAATTCATTGATTGGTTTATCTTCTTTGCTAAGTACTTTTACGCTTAACCGTGAATTGAGAGAATTGTTCAAATGTATGCAGTCAATGACAAAAATACATATCTCTATTAAAAGTCTCATCAGGCTGAACTTACCCATTTCTAGTAATTCCCTATGATTTCTGCCACCCTCTCAACATATATTACTTATTTCCATTCTTATCAGCAACGCCCACTACGCTCGTCCCCCTGTCAAAATTTCGGGCTTGCAGCCGTGTTGATCGTCTTGATGCTGTCTTCTCTTGGTGTTTATGCAGTGTTTCTTCTTTTTCCTACTGCTTGCATTTTTAAAGTAGGCTGGCGTTTACTCTTTGTCCCCTTTTTTGATAGTATAAACTGAACCGCGTGTCTCGGTAACCATATATGGTCCTTTCCACTTCTTCTACCATATTCACCTGACGTACATCCTCGTTCTCGACATTTTACCCGACCTCAAACCGTTTCCATTTACTTCATTCTCTCTGCTCGAATTTTTCAGCATCAGCTTTCTGTTTTTGTTCCACATTTCTGATTGTCTGTTTCCGCTCCTTTCTCAATCTTGTCATGTTCCATGACTGTTGTTGGGGCCAGGTCTTACTGTTTATTGGGAGCCGTGGTTTCCTGCCATATGTTAACTGGAACGACAATTTCTTGGTTGTTCCTTGTACAGAGGCATGATGCGCCAATAATATTAACGGCAGTTGTGTCTCCCAATTTTTTCTCCTTGCAAAGCCAGCCACTCCTTAATTGTACAGTTGTTTCGTTCTGTCAAGCCGTTAGTCTGTGGGTGGTATGGCGTCTTTCTTATTCTCTTGATATAGAGCTGCTCCAAACAGGATTTGAATTCTTCACTCTCAAAACTAGGACCTTGGTCGGTCAATCTCACCTTTGGCACACCGTGGTCCGCTACAATATGCCGCTCCACCGCTGCGCTCACTATCTTCGCGCGTTGATCAGGAATTACGACAGCGTCTACCCATCGTGTGGCATGCTCCGTCATCACCAACAGGTATTGGTTAGCACTAGATGTCTGCGGAAATGGTCCCATTACGTCCGCAGACCACAGGTCACCAACTGCTGCTACTGGAATCGACTGAAACGGCGATCGTATATACCGATCACCTTTTATCAAATGACAGTATGGACAGCCCAGAACGTGTTTGGCAACCTCTCATACCCGGCCAGTATGCACTTTGTCTGAGAAGGTCGGCTGTCCGTGAGACACCCATATGAGCTAACGTGGCATTCTTGTGTCGTTTTGTCGCATAGACATTTCGGAATCACTGCCAACCAGCTCCCGTCGTTTTCTCGCCAAGTCAGCATTCCATAAGTATTCATCCGTAGGCGTTCTTTCTGCGCCAACAACGTTCTCAACTCTTCATTTCCCACAGACTTGTTTGTCTCCGTTCCTTCAGTTATGGCTTTTATCACTTTAGGTGTAGGGTCCGACTTCTGAAGGCGAATAAGTCTTGATGGGTCCCGTCCCACTGCATGTACATCGTATGCGATTTCTGGCAGTTCATTTTCTTCGTCTGATACTGATAAGAAGTCTGCCAACCAGCTTTCTTTCCCTGCAGTGTGACTGATTGTGAAATCGTACTCTTACAGTCGAAACATCCAACGTGATCATTTTCCTCTAGGGTTTCTCGCTGTCTTTAGCCACTGTAGAGGTTTATAATCAGTTTCAATATGGAATCGTTAACCGAGGAGGTACGATCTCCATTTATCCAGCGCCCAAGCTATCATCAGACTTTCTTTTTCAACCATGGAATATTTCGGTTCTGCAGGTGTCAGGTCACGGTTGGCATACTCAACTACTCTTTCAGTCTGTCTCAGAACTGCGCCTATTCCATAATCACTTGCATCGGTGGACATGATGAATCGCTTCCCGGTTATTGGTGGTTTTAAAGTCGTCTCCTGGTCATTTGGGAACTCCTTGATGTGATCAAAAAAGTTTTCTCTGCCTTCTCTGTTCGCGTAAATTTGGGATTACCAAGTAGCTTATATAAAGGTGCTGCTATCTCATTGAAATTTTTGAGGAACCTACTGTAGAATGCCGCTCTACCCAAGAACTGTTGCAGTTCCCTCTTTGAATTAAGCACTGGAATAGTGTTAACCGCCTCTGCGTGTGGTGCTTTTGATACCTTAATCTCTACCACCTCGCTGCTTTCCTGCTTGGTTAACGACCCGTACTTCGTCACCACTATTCTTGTTCTCGTGTTAATAACTGCGCCCACTTCTCTCAAAAAATCAGCACCGTTGTAAACGCGTGGTCACAATGAATTGGAATCTAATTTTCCGACTTCCGATCTTGATGACATAATTTGATAAGCCCGTGACTTCTAATGTATGTCCATCAACCGTATAAACCGTTAGCACGTATGGTCTTATGTTCTGAGACTAACTCTTGTCTATCAGCGTGACTTCCGCCCCCGTATCTATTAGACACATGATCTCCGGATAATTTATTCGCATTCTAGCATTCACCTCGCCTCGATCTATGGCTCCTACAACATCTAGTCTAGTCGAAAAAACAGAACCCATATTATATCGTTCAAAACGTTTTCTTTTGTCCTCTCCGGACAATTTCTTCGCCACTGTCCAGGTTTTCCGCATGCAAAGCATTTATCCTGTCTGTTGATGTTTATTCGAAGTGCAGCTACCTCTTCCTGAAGGTTGTCGATTTGTTTTTGCCAGTTATTTACGTCTGGTGACTCCATTGCAGCTACTCCTGTACCCATTAGCTATCTGGTCACCTTGGCCATCTTACTAGTGTCCATGGGTTGGGCTGCGTTGACTAGTCGTAACTGCTGGGCGATGGCATTCGGGACACTTTCGGTGAGCTGTGCAACCAGCAGCTGCTCCTGGGAGTCGTCATCCAAAGTGGAAAGTGCTCGTCGGAGTAGCTTAGTCGACTTCACAGCCAATACCAGCGGATCTTCGTCTATTCCAGTTTCGTGATCCAGAAGTGCTGCATCGCCAGCTCCTCTGGGCTGTCGAACTCCGCCTCCAGGCGTTCAACCATTCTTTGCCAAGTCTCCTTCCCACCCCCACGTTCCACGCCATCATATGCTGCTTTCGCTCTACATCTCAGCAATCCTGCCAACCTTCGCTCCTGGATTCCGGACACCCACCAGCTCTATCAGCCACTCGAAGTCCCTGAGGAAGATCTTGGTATCTCCATCCTCTAACACATCAGGTCGCTGGCTCTTCATCACGTCCAGAAGCAGCGACACCAATTGAAGGAAATGAGAAGACAGAGACGGAGGAAGGAATGTTTATTATTGATATATGGTACAGTAGTTGTTAAATACGGTACACCTTGCACGAAGACAGTCATTTACAAAATGTGCTTCATTTCCTCTTCTGCTTCTCTCTTGATTTGCTGTTCATACGCCTGCGTTGTCTCTTGCGTTTCTCTAGGCAGAATCCTTACCCATTGCTGGTAATTTTCTATGATTTCTGCCACCCTCTCAACATATACTACTCTTATCCATTCTTATCAGCAACGCCCACTACATTACCACCTGGCTGCCTGCACCTCGATAAATGAGGTGGGGTTCGAACCCGAGACTCATTGATTGAAAGTCAACTGCCTAAACCAGTACAATGGATATATAGACGTATAAAGTGGTTGTATAAATTATAGTTACATGTACAGTTAGTTAGGTAATCCATATATGCAGTGGATAGAGTATGGAGAAGATTTATAAAAAAATCAAGTGCACATCTGCTAAAATACACACGCAAACAAACACAAAGTATTTACTTGATAACATATCGGGCACAAATTATTATTGCTCATTATCATATCAATATGATCACAATACTTTGGTTGTTTGATTGCAATAGTCCTATCACCCACGTCATATTCTTTGCTTTTATTGGTAGTAAAATTTTCCATGCTTCTGGCAGTAGGTGGATTGAGTTTGGAGGTTTGTAGGGATTTATTTATTTCAAATTGGTGTTCATCACAAGTTGACATCAATTGGAGAACCGTTGGAAACCTGGTAGCATTGGGCAACTGTTCCATCCTGGAATGGAACGAAACAGTAGTGTGCACGCATGACCCCGCCAGAGATCAAACCCCAGGATCTTCAGGTGTATACATTACTATTGAGGTACTATCAAGTTTTCAATATTTCTTCAACTGAGATCTATCCATGATGAAAATCAATCAATAAATCCTCACAAACCTCCAAATTGAATTAGTCTGATGCTCATTATTGACTTACTACAAGAGGTGATTCCTACAGTTCAAATGAGAAAAGTTATGACCGGTGGGGGGGGGGAGGGGTCAATCAAGTCGGATATGAGGACAGTTATTCAACGATGACATTGTATTAGTGGTAACATGCTGGCCTCGACAAACCTAATTTGCAAACGCCTTCAGTAATATATATCTGTAGTGATATATTTAATTGATTGTAAATGAAAATAGCGGCGAAATCTACAGACCGGCCTGAATGGCTTCTAACCTACTCAGGTTGGTCAGTAGTGGTATATTTTGTTACACTACACTTTTTGAGGTACTTAAAATCAGTCAGGAATACTATAAGCTGACTATCATCATCATCATCATTACGATCCATAGGACCAGGCATTACTGCGTGGCGGTCCCAGTTGCCACACCTCATCGTATCACCACATGAAGTAAAACAAGAGTGAAGTAGAAGATGAAGAAAAGGAACTTCAGTCGGAAGAAATATAAAGTACTGAAAGAGAGAAAGAAAGAATAGGAAAATGGTGAGATTCGGTATAGCGTCGTTCAGATGAGGATAATGTATGTATACCATATATATAAATGTATATATATATATATATATATATATATATATATATATATATATATATATACGTCCGTTTACGGTTTGTTTAATTAATAAATTATTTTTCGACAGATCATCTTCTCCTGTGAAAAAGAAAAAAAGGCGTTATACAGTCATCCCAGCTGAACTTCACAAAGCTAAGAGAGCTATGTTACCTTCACATCAACCCATCCAACTCTTAAGAGAGACGAAAAGTTTTCAGCGTAGATAGTTGTGGATAATTTACTATCACTAATCACGTATGTGTATATACCTGTATTGCTAATTATTATATGGTTAGTCTGTTGTTATTTTGTGTTATTTTTAACTGAAAAATTAACAAAGTAGAGGTGAGTTATTCTCATGTTTGTTACAGGTGAAATGTACCACAGACGCGCAGATTTTGTCAATAATATACTTCTGTCTAACAAAGATATTAAAGAAGGAAAATATGCCGATTTTATATTGCTTATGATCACGTTTGATGAAGTCCTAGTGTAAGGTGGTTAGGTGTAGAGAACTGAGTTGAATACGTCCGAGAGTCGATTCACCTAACGTCAAATATAGTGCCGCCTATTTTGGTGTGATTAACTGAGAAGTATCGAAAGATATTATACAATAAGTGTAGCTCGTGGCCAAGTGCATAAAGTACCGAGTTGAGTCATTTAAGCGTTATAATTAAGCTATCTTACTCTGTATAGGCAATGAATTGAGTTAAAAAAGCTTCTGGACGATCATATCAACCTGTTAGCATTCCAGACTGTTCGGTCAGAGCTGTATGGTAATCGAAAAACAATCGAGGTGATGTGACTGATGATCGGTGGTTCAAGTTGTACAGATGTGTATTACCTTCTCATCTTTTTACACCTCTTCAACGCCATACTATGACATCCTTGATAAGCTTGTTTCAACCTATTGCTTTTACCCTTGTTAAGTTAGTTCTTGATCACTATTTGTACCGTCCTATTATTTCATTGTTTTTTCCATGTAGTTGGTTTCTAGCAGTTGTAAGGTTTACATAAAGTGTGAAAACTTGAACCGATGTACAATTATACCAGGTTTCAGGTTGTTAATGTCCTATTTCCTACAACAGAATAGTATGTTTTATACTTTCAAAACCTAATGATGTTGTCCAGCTGAGTGTGAAAACATCTCAGTGATTAAGTTAACTTAGACAACCAAACGTACGATCTTCTAAACTCTCTCGAATAACAGTATGAAAGTGAATCATATCCATCAAGGTATGAAAGAAGAGGGGAAAAAGGAAAAAAATGCTTCGACTATGAAGCTCTTTTCGATGACTTCCTACTCGTGTATGTATAGTCTCAAAAGCACACACTTTCTTGGAGAATGCCTGTGGAGTATTTGGAAATATACTACGACTACTGAATAACTTGAATAGTTAGAAACCATCCAAGCTGATCTATAGAATTCAACAGCCAAGCAGATCAGAGTGATCTAAATATCATACTGCAATTACGTTCGTTTTAGGGCTGAGCACGTCACTGGACAAATTCAGCTCATAGTGCTTATCTAACTCAGATCACCTGAATCTGGCTAGCTGACAGCGAATAATGACTTATCAAACATTGTAATAATTTTCTTCCAAATTGTCAATAACTGATCTGTCATTCTCATTACGTAATAATTAGGGTCTTTATTAGTGATGAAAATTGATCGAAATATGCGAGGAATTAGTGATATGGATGAAGAGTTTGTGCATTGTGGAATGAATCAACTGAAATCATATTCACATCTAAAATGGATGCTTACACACTGACCAAATTTTTAAGATTCAGACTGGGATGAAATAGAAAAGAAAACTGAACTTGATGGGAGAAGAGAATTTATTCCTCTGAGAATTAATCCAAGCACATGTGTGTATGTATACACATGAGATGCGACCTTGTCTCGAATTTGAGACCTTAAGCAATTAACCAATCAGCCAACTGCCTTGAAAATAGGGACAAAAATGAAACTACTGACTATGCCATAAAAATGGTGCAAAAAACGAAAATTTATATGTTTAGATTAATAAACAGTGTTTTATTATGATCACAAATGAAACTTGTTTGTCGGTCAAAAAATTATCAGAAGTGGGACCGGGAGTACTGAGCAAAGAAACTTTAATAATATTACCAAGAGAAATACTGAATCCTGGTGGTGTTATAGGTTCATATTTACTCATCATTCATGTGATCACCTATCGATCAACTTCACTTCAGAATTTGTAGAGAACTCAGAATTTCACTTTCTCAATGTCTTATTGAAACGATGACCAGATGTCTGGTTCTCTTCAGAGATCGATTTATAGGAAGCCTACATGGAATGGACAATACTTGGATTTCTATAACTGGGTGCCTCTTAGCAGAAAAAGGAATCTAATCCATTCTTTATCTTCGAGAATTAGACGAATCTGCACGAGTGATACTATCGATAATGAATTAGACAAACTATGGAAGATTTTCAGGTCAAATGGATACCCATCCAGATTGAGAAGAAATTGAAATTGAAACAGAATATGAAGCAAGTACTCACAGTTCCACAGAAGACCCTGTCTATAAACGTTGGTTTCAAGGGCGATATGAAAGTAGAGATCCTGAAGAATCATCTGTCATGATTGCTGAAGAAGACATTCTTCTCAGCGAAGCTGCAGATCACCTTCTGTAGTCAGCAACGGGTTTCATAATGCGTTAAGGACAAGTTGCTGCTTTGGGCCACCTCAGTGTATGTCTACAAATTTACTTAGACCGATGAAGTAGTAGTTATATAGGTTGGACAAAGCTCACATTTTCCAAACGTATCTCTGAGCACTATCTCTACATGGTTGTCGAGGGGAGAATGTAAATCAGTGAACAGTTCCATTCTTCAACATTTGGTCAACTCTGGACATATAACTCCGCCAGATTCCTCTTTCAGTGTTATTTATAGAGTTAAAGAGAATAGTTCAAAAAGAGTACGCTTTCGACAGTTGTGCACCATGACAGAAGCACTGACAACACACCAATTTAAACCTGATCTCTGCGTGAAGAAGAAGTATGTTCAATCTTTTATCTCACCATAGTCTTAACACTATCACAATTCTTCGATTATATTGTAATTAGTTAGTTAATTATTGTCACCATTATGATGCTTGTCTCATTCTTCGTCTTCTTTATATCTATCGAATGGATACTCAATATTCGTATTTTTCATCTACCAATAATTTTCACCTTGTTAAACTCCTTGCCTTGTTTAATAATGGACTGTTATATGTTTATGATATATATAAGTACGATTGTACGGCTTTAGAAAATGATATCGTTGAAAAAAATTTTTTCTCCATCATTAACTGGACTGTATTTAGTGTTGAACAAGTCAACAAATATAGTTGTGAATCAAGTGAAGTGACCACAGAAATGAAACAAATAATTAGTTAGTCTAAGTGTATTGAAATTATTCCAAAGAGATATAATATTGTACCTAGGGGGGTGTAGAGTGGCAGAGCTATATGCATAAGGGATACTGGGTAAGACCTATTGTAGACTTCCTTGCTAACGTACTATGACCAGCGTGAAAGATTTTACATCAAAAATAGTCAACTCCGTCGAATTGAAAAAAAAGACTAACTTTGATATCATAGTCAGTAGACGTAAATACAGACAGAAAGCAGTTGAGATAAGACTAACACAATGATAGGAGTTCAAAAGAGTCAAACCAGCTATCTGTGTAGGGGGTTTATACTAAAGGCAGTAGAATTCTGTTTGACAACACCGGTATTTACATTCAGAGGGCAGTAATACCAGCCAAACAAAAGGAGAATATCTTTGAGATTATCGATTTATATTATTATTTTATTTTCACTTGGGTTCCTAGTGGAATATAGGGCTTCAGTAGCACGCCTCCATTACACTATGTTCTCTGCAGTCTTTTCAACCTGGGATCACGACTGCCCACAAGCTTTCATTTCCTCCTCATATGATCTCCTACATGTCACTCTCGGACGCCCAACTCATCGTTTCCTCTCTGTGTTCCACTCGAGGGCCTGGCCTGGTGCATGATGTCCCCAGTCGGCCTTCTCAGTGTATGCCCAATCCATTTCCACTTCTGCATATTTGTTGAGTGATAGGTTCTTGGTTAGTTCGTTGCCAGAGTTCATTGTTGCTTATTGTTATTATTCTGCCCATCTGATCTTCAGTATCGAGTGAGCGTAGGCAGCTGTTGGTGAATGTCTGTAGTTTGTAGGAAGTGCTTTTCATGACGCGCCAAGCTTCTGAACCATCACATAGCAGCACTGACTTGACTGACTATTAGTGTTGAAAATCTGGATCTTGTTCTTTGTGTTGAGTGCAGTAGATCTCCACACTGATTTCAGATTAATAAAAGCCTGTCTTGCTTTTCCGATCCTGGTTTCGGCATCCTCGTCTGTGCCTGTGCCGCCTGTAGTTGAAACGATGCTGCCTGCCTAGGTAGATGAAAGAGACTGCTTCCTTTAGATTTCTTTTCGTTGGTGGTGATTGGTGCTTGTTGATGATGCTGTTGTTGGTTGGGTATTTTCATCACCCCCGTCTTCTTTACATTCACTTGAAGTCCCGTCTTCTCTGCCTCTTCTGTCAACTTTTTAGTTTTCGCCTGTAGAACTTCGAGTTTGTGCAACATTAGACGTAAAATATCATCACCGACGAAATGCAAATCTTCTAGTCTTTTCATCGTTGCAGCCAGTGTATGCCCATCTTCTCGCTCCTCACTGTTTGCTGCATGATCCAGTCGACCACAATCAGGAATATCATGGGTGATAGTATGCAGCCTTGTCTTACTCCTGTCTTCATTTCTAAGGCATCACTGAACTTTCCATTGTGAATCACTTGGCACGTGGCCTCTTCATATAGTTGTTGAATGAGGTATATAAAGGTTTGTGGCACACCGTAGTGTTGAAGCAACTGCCAAATTACTTCTCGGTCGATGCTGTCGAAGGCCTTTTCAAAGTCGATGAAGTTGAGGTAAGATAGAGAGAATGCTGATTTCGATTTAGGTCACTTAACGTCCGTTGGAAATTGATCAAAATGGGGCCCATGTATTTACTCTTCAGTGTTTTTTTTTTAAGCTTAAATATTTGCATTAACCTTTATCTTTAGATAACGTAATGAGAAGACGAAGATTATCAGAGACATGTGTGATGTATTCACGCTATACATTTTAAACAAGTTGATCACACAGTATTCTGTTGCTAAGACAAATATCTACATCTGAGGTGGTGATTCACATAGCTTTGTTGTGAGGAAAAGGCTTAGATCAGCCATCTGTAAAACATATTATGCAGCCAAGTTCATCATTGTAGAGAAGACAAAGTTCATATTACAACACAAACCAAAACAGCATATAAACGATTACATCACATCGCACTATGTTTATCAATTTACATGTATACATGGACACACATACATTGGGAGGAGTAATCGTTATGTACAGTTAAGGATGATTGAATATGCTCCCAAGTGGCTTCAAAACACATGACCTCAACAGATCCAACAGGTGTAGGTGACAAACGTCCATCTTCATTTATCGCTAAACATATACTAGAAAGTTACCATAGGGTAGACATGAAAACAGCCTTTAAAGTACTACATAAAAGTGATCAGGGCCCAGTGCTTAAATTTTATTGGAGCTTTGATCATCCTACTTGAATATTTTCTATTGACATCATTGAACCTTTTGATAAATTTTCATATAAATAGTTCAACAATTCCATGATCTCCATGTGATCAAATTGTTCGAAATGTGTATAACGCTAATACATCATACATATTTTGAGATAATCTTCATCTTCTCATTACTTTGTTTAAATTTATCAAAGGGACAATTTACTGTAAACTTGATCTTTTAATTTATTTCTCCACACAGAACTTTGTCTACCTTAATATCAGCCGTTTTTGTCTATCCATTTGTTACTTTTATATTGTGACTTGTGTGCTAAATTGTACAATGATATTGTGTTCTTGTTGTTGTTGGCTGATTGGATGCTAAATCACTACAATCATGATTAAGATAGTTTCTTTAGTGAAGATATTTAACTCAGATATTTATCAATAATAGAAATTTATCAACTTCATGTATATTTTCATTACATCTAAATAGTAATAACCGTTTAGAAGTAGTATTCATCATTGACTGACGTCAGTTGGGGAACCATTGAAAATCTGGGAGCACTGGACAGCTGTTTCATCCCAATATGCGACTCCTCAGCAGTACGCACCCATGACCCGTTTAGGCATCGAACTCAGGACCTTCAGGTTTCAGGGCAAACTTGTTAACCATTCAGCTACTGGGTCGGTTTCCAGTGGTTCAGAGTTTCCAACTTCTGTTGATTCACGACATAGCGCGACTATCACCCAAGGTCTTCAGTTAGCATCCACTTCACTTCCGACTAGTTCACTCTACAGGTCAAGGCTTCCCAACTGATGTCATTCCATGATGAATACTACTTCCAGACTAAAAAATCCCCAATCATCTCAAAAATACATTACTGTATAGTGCTCATTAGTGACTTGCTCCAAGATGGATATCACGAAGCTCTAATGAGAAGCCGTGACCTGTGGGGTCAACCAGTCGGAAGTGAAGTAGATACTAACTGAAGACCTTGGGTGATAGTCGCGCTATGTCGTGAATCGACAGAAGTTGGAAACTCTGAACCACTGGAAACCGACCCAGTAGCTGAATGGCTAACGAGTTTGCCCTGAAACCTAAAGGTCCCGGGTTCGACCCCTAGCCAGGTCGTGGGTGCTTAGTGCTGAGGAGTCCCATACGAGGACGAAACAGCTGTCCAGTCCTCCCAGATATCCAGTGGTCCCCCAACTGACGTCAGTCCATGATGAATACTACTTCTAAATTGAAAATCCCCATTCATCTCAATAACTGTTTGTAAATTAACCAACTTTGTTTGTTCTATTATTATTTTTTGTTAACAGGTTTTTGGTTAGTCAATCAATGCAATCTCCATTTGTGTAAAAGCGGCCAGTTTTTTCGCACCAGCATTTATTTTTGTTATTTTATATTTTTGCCAAAAAAGCACAAACCAACCCGATTATAAACGATTATAAAACTATTTTTACTATTTTGTTGTATGCGTTATGATAAGTTACTATGCATATTATTATTATTATTATTATCTGTTTAAAATAAAGAGATCCAGATATATATGTACTTTTTTTCTTCAACCGGTAATGATGAAATGTATCTTTCGATACACATTATCCTAGTGAATGATGCGATCTGTTAGCAGCCTTTCGATGTTCATTTCTGTATGTTTTTATCTAAATATGATGCATTTTAGTAGTGATTATGAAAGATGTAGCATGTTTACAATTTGTGCAAGTGTCTAGTACTCGATTTCTACTTAGTATGTTTTGTAGGACTTCAAGTGAATATAGAGAAGACAGAGGTGATGAAGATACCCTACCAATAACAACAGAAAGCTCCAATCACCATCAACGGGAGAAACTTAAAAGAAATAGCCTCCTTCACCTATCTAAGCAGCACTGTTTCAACTACAGGTGGTGGCACAGACGAGGACGTCAAAGCAGCCAGGATCGAAAAAGCAAGACAGGCGTTCATTAACCTGAAACCAGTGTGGAGATCTTCTGCACTCCACTCAGTATACAGCGTGAACGACATCCGGATTTTCAACACCAATTCAGTCAAGTCAGTGCTCCTGTATGGTTCGGAGACTTGGAGCGTTGCGAAAAGTATTTCCAACAAACTACAGACATTCATCAACAACTGTCTACGCTGGCTCGATACTGAAGCTCAGATGGGCAGAATAATAAGAATAAGCAACAAGGAACTCTGACTGGCAACGAATAAACCAAGAAGCTGTCACTGGACAAATATGCAGTGGAAGGAAGTGGAGATGGATTGGATTGGGCACACACTGAGAAGGCCGACTGGGGACATCACACGCCAGGCCAGTTGCTCGAGTGGAAGCCGGATGGGAAGTGACGAGTTGGGCGTCCGAGGTGAGGGTGGCATGGTAGAGGAGATGGTGTGAGGAAGAAATGAGAGCTTCTGGGCTGTCGTGGAGCCAGGTTCAAAAGATTTCAGAGAACAGGTCGCATTGGAGACGTGCTACTGAAGCCCTATGTTCCATTAGGAACCCAAAGGACAAATAATATAAAAAGTTTTGTAGGTTCACGTTTTATCTAACGTGTAACCGGAACCGTTTGATTAGTTGGGTAGTGTGCTGCCTATTAATTGCACGAAAAGCGTGTTTCATAACTTAATACAATAATCTGCGCCTGGTTGATACTACATTACGCAGGGTGATAAAGATTTGATATCCCATTGTTTAAGTATACAGTAGGTTATATTATTAGGCAAAACGAAGCGGTGCTTTCAGCCGGTGTCTGTGTATTATTTTGAGTAATTTTATAGGCCCTTCTAACAACAAAAGTTGTGAGCTGCTTATGACGTTTCCATGATAAGTGCCTGCTTTGGTATTTTACTCTTAGAGTAACACGACAAAGGTGACGTGATGTACATCATTTGATCCTAATTTATATTATGTGGAAGACTAGAGTATTTTCTTTTTTTCTTATTTTTTGTCTTTTGCGTTCCTAGTGAAACATAGAGCTTCAATAGCACACAGCCGTTTCACTCTCTTCTCTGCAGTCTACTTAACCTGGCTCCACGACTACCCATAAACTTTCGTTTTTTCCCCACACGATCTCCATGTCACCCTCGCACGCTCGACCCGTAGTTTACCCTTTGGGTTCCATTCGACAGGCTGACGCGTGATGTCCCCAGTCGGCCTTCTCAGGTATGTCCATCCCAATCCAATCTATCTCCACTTTCTCCTGCATATTCGTTGGGTGATAGGTTGTTGACTGCTTCGTTGCCAGCCAGAGTGAGTTCCTTGTTTCTTATTCTTATTACTCTGGCCATCTGATCTTCAGTATCGAGTGAGCGTAGGCAGCTGTTGATGAATGTCTGTAATTTGTTGGAAATGCTTTTCGTACCATGCCAAGTCTCTGGACCATCACATTGAAGCACTGAATTGACTGAGATTAGTGTTGGAAATCCGGATGTTGTTCACGTTTTAGGCTGAGGGGAGTGGAGTAGATCTCCACACTGATTTCAGATTGAAGTTCTATCTTGCCGTCTTTCCGATCCTGGCTTTGACGTCTTCATGTGTGCCTGTGCCTCCTGTAGTTGGAACGATGCTGCCTAGGTAGGTGAAAGAAACAACTTCCTTTATATTTCTCCCTTTGATAGTGATCGGCGCTTGTTGATGTTGGTTGGGTGTCTTCATCACTTGTGTCTTCTCTGCGTTCACTTGAAGGAAGTCCCGTCCTCGCTACCTCATCTCGCCTCTTCTGCCAATTTGTTAGTTTTCGCCTGTAGATCTTCGAGTTTGTGCGACATAAATCATCATCGGTTAGATCCAAATATAGACTCTTTTCATTGGTCAAACAGCGTATACCCTTCTCACATCTCACAGTTTGTTCAATGATCCAGTGAAGTCGACGACAATCGGGAAAATCATCGGTGATAGTAATCGGCAACCCTGTCTTACTCCTGCACAAACTTCACTTCAAAGGCATCACTTGACATGTAGCATCATATAGCATATATAGCTTCTGTTGAATGAGGCTGGTAATGGTTTTCGGCACATAAACATTAGTGTTGAAGCAACTGCCTTCCAAATTACTTGTCGGTCGACGCCTCGATTGAAGGCGTTTTCAAAGTCGATGAAGTTGAGGTGAGGTGAAGAGTTGATTGACATTCTATCCTCTGTTCTATGATGATGCGTAGTGTAGCGTTGAAATTTGATTTGGACATGGTTTGTTTTTCCTGAAAGTGGCCAACCTGTTTCGGTGGTAATTTTGAATCTAGAGGATTCTTTTGTTCTCTCCAGGATGATGCGGCGTAATATTTTGCTTGTAGTGGATAGGAACATAATTCCGTGTCAGTTCTTGCAAAGTATCAGTTATAAAATGTGTTTAGCTAATTTTGATTTTCTATTGGTATTCATCAGAGACTGAAATTAGTGTGAAAACCTGGGAGCACTGGACACCTTTTTTGTCTTAGTCTGGGAATTCTCAGCAGTGCACATCCAGTGTTATTGCGCTGGCCTCGGACCTGATGGTCTTAGATTCGACCTTTGTCGTGGTCATTGCTGCACACTGCTGATGAGTCATAGACTCGGATGAGGCAGTTAGTTATCCAGCGCTTCTGGTTTCTCTAACTGATGCCAGTCTATGTGGAATACCAACTGGAAATCAGTAAACAGACTTCCAAATTGAAGTAGACTGTTTGTTTTGTCCATAACTTGACTTCGTCTTTTTGAACGAACTGGCGAAAATCCTGCTCACTTGATAATGATTCTTACAGTGTTTAATCTAATATAATAAAACAATAAAATGACATACTGTGTCTGAGTTGCTTAATTGTGTTTGTTCAACACATTTCGAACAATGTGATCACACATCTACTTGTTATAGGGATTTATTGTACTATAAACTAACCGCTGTGGGATGACAGAAAGAATGTAGGCCGAATGCGAAGATTCTGTTTGAAGGTAAGGTGAAAATGACGGTGAAGATCAATAAGGCGGAATGGTTACGGTATATTAACCTTAGGTTCGAAACCGAATTTATCAAGGAAGGTTTAATGTGATATCAAGTTGTTGTTAATGTGAAGACGATTGTCTGTTAAGTGTCGCGTGTACTGCACAGCAGTCCACTCTGTTCTATTGTATGGCTGTGAAAAATGGTTACTGAGGTTGGAAGACATGAGAAAGTTTCCGGTGTTTGACCACCGTATGCTTCGTAGCATAGGCCGTATTCCGTGATGTCACCACACAGAAGCCGGGCGTAGAGTTTTAGGGAGTAGAGGTAAATCAGTTAACGCGGTTGTGAAGCTCCGTCGACTGAGATGGCTAGTTGGGACGTGCCTAGTCGCCGTCTGCATCGTCACACAATGCTGACCAATGTAGGTTCAGACTGGAAAAAAGCCCAAGGTGACCAGACTAAAACATGGCATCAATGTATGAAGTATTTGACTGTTGGTTTTGAGCCATGTGGGGCGATGCAGACTAGGTGTTTGGGGTCCGCGGGACAAGAGGAACCAGTGTTCGGAGACACTATGTGATATGGCTCACAACCGATGTTAGTGGCGCAGATGAATACACACAGTATCCTCATCTTAATGACGCCATACCGAATCTCACCATTTTCTCGTCCTTCATTTCTCTCTTTTCGTACTTTTTATTTCTTTTGAGTGAATTTTCTTCATCTTCCACTTCACTACCTTTTTACTTGATGTGGTGATATGATGAGGTGTGACAACTCGGATCGTTACACAGCAATACCCGATCCTATGTTGACTTGGATGGATGGATAGTGTGAAGACGTAAAGTTTGTCTAAACCTCGTAAGAGGTAATACTTTGACAAACTTCAAAATTTATCTTCAACAGGTTTTCAGCAGATATTCAGGAATCTGGATACGCTGTTCTCAATGGTTTTTCTAATTTCCCGTTGGTTGTATAGCACGGATCCAAATACGTGGAAGATTACACTCTGATGACCTAGAATTCTTGGATTTCCAAATTTTTTATTCAGAAAAAATGAGTTTAGGTGTTACAAGTGAAGGAGAATGCACTTAGTCCAGTTTTACAGTGGGTCTCCTGACATTTGAGTATCCTTGTAGTAGTTTCCTTAAGATAATATGAGTGTCATAAAAGTTTAATTTGCATCTCTCAACTGATCGCTCATCAGTAAGCTTGAAGGGTAGGCAAAGCTAGGTTCCCTACTGACTGAACCCTTATGATCTTACACCAAGATGGTCAATGTTGAGAAGTTTATCATTTAGGTATTTGTAATATTCCCTTAATTAGGAAGTTTATCCTCCCGGCTGGTTCATTCGTATAAGTTGTTTAATATCACTACTACGTTCTAGAATTCATGAGGTAACCGTGTTCTGGATGTACTAGGGATTCACCCAACGTCTT